CACTCATGCATACATGCTTTATGGTACACATATGTACACACTTGAGTACATCTGTTGAGCATATAATTGGGTGTAGGGGCTACTGGATCACAGAATAGGCATATGTTTGATAGTGCCAATTAATTTCCAAAGTGGTTGCCAATGGTTGTAGAAATTGTAAGAGTGCTGCTCACCAACACTTGATAAGCAAGCAGTATTATCTTTCTTAGATATAACTTATATTAATGAATTTTTTACATTTTGGTGAGTATATTTTAATGTCTCTTTCCTACAATATCAGTAATTTTACATGGGGTCCATTTTTAATGGGACTGTTTTCTGATTTTTCCAATAAATTCACTGCAAATGTCTTTTTCCACCACGTGGCTTGCATCTTCACCTCTTGATGAGGTGTTTTGATCTTTGAATGTCTGCTTTTAGTTTTTCATGCAATCCACTTTATTAATCTTTTTCTTTTGGGATAGTGATTTTGATGTCCTGTTCAAAAACATTTCGCTACTCTAAGATCAAAAGGGTAGTCTCTTGTGATTTTTTTGGAAGTTTTTTGTTTTACCATTCACATTTAATTCATGATCCATTTGAGATTGTTGTTGTTTATGGTATGAAGCAGAGATTCATTTTTCTTGTATTGTTTTGAAGATTTTTGTGTCTGTGTATATGAACTGAGTTGGCCTATATGTTCTTTTATTTTTTGTTCTTGTATTTTATAGAAAAATATACTGTCTTATAAAAGAAGTTGACTAGTATTTCCTCTCTTTTCACAAGCAGAGAGTTGGAGATTTGGCATTGTTTTTTCCTTAAATGTTAGAAGAATTTACTAGTGAAATTCATCTGAACCTGAAGTTTGCTTTGTGGGTATTTTATTATGGATTTGATTTATTTAATAAATGGAGGTCTATTCAAAGTTTATGTTTCTTGTTTTATTTTGTAAGTTTAGGCTCTTCTAGGTAATTGTCCCTTTTATCCAGATTTTCAAATTTATTGGTTCATCATACGTTTTTTGCTATCTATAGGATCTGTAATGGTAACCCCCTTTTCATTTCTGGTATAATAATTTATTCCCTTCACTCCTTTTATTTTGCTAGTTGTTAATTTTTTTCTTTGTTTGGAGCTGGGGGTGTAGCCCAGTCATATGCATGAAGACTTGGGTTCAATCCCTAGTACTAGGGGGCGGGGTTTGTATTAGTCTTTTTAGATTCTTCTCTCGGAATTCCTTTTTTCTTTCTTTTTGAGACGGACTCACTCTGTTGCCCAGGCTGATCTTCTGTGCCACAGTTAGTCCTCCCTCAGCCTCTTGTGCCCCACTGCCACCAATAGCATTACTTTTTTATTGCAAATTTCTCTCCTATCTCATTGATTTTGGTTCTTAATTGAATTGCCTCTTTCCACTTTTTTGAGTATATTTGTTGTTCTTTTAGTAATTTCTTTATGTGATTCATATTCCACATTCTTAAATCCATGCATTTAATGCCATCAGTTTTAATATGCTGTATTGTCATTACTGATAGTTTGAAATATTTTCTAATCCTGTGGGTTTTGTTTTTTGACCAGAAAAAAGAGATATTATTATTATATGTACTGTGTTTATATATTCATAGACAATATTATGTAAGTGTATTTTAGTCTGGATTGATTGTCATTGGTAGCTGATAGGAATTTCCTTAAACATTGCTAAGGTGGCCACTTGGGCAAAGCTCATTTCTGCAGGTAGTGATTGAGCACAGTGCTCGGCAAGTGGACCTCACCCAGCTGTAATGTGGCTGAAGAAGTGCCCACGAGTAGACTTCCCTTAAGGTGTACGTACTGGAAACCAGCTGGGAAACTGGGAACTCTGTCAATTTTAGATGCAGGGAAGGTGTCATCTGAAAGATGGTGTGCATTCAAGGATTTCTTTGCTTTTCTTAGTCAATTTTCTTTTTCCCCTATGTCCACTGGGACTTCCCAGAATTACCTAAGGCAATTCCCCCTTTCTTCTCTGACCCTGAGGGTAGCCTTCCATGGCAGACTCCCATCACTTTACATGACCTTGCTTGCCTACACCTGTGCTCTGGTAAGTGATGTATAGAGAGCAGGTTAATTGTTTATATTTGGCAGTCTTTAGACTACCATGGCCCACTGTTTACTCCCGCTTCCATGCCCAGTTCTTCCTAACTTGGCCCTGAGAGTTTGTCCTGTCCTCTAGTGGGAAAAGAACACTCAAAATCTGTATTTAGTGGAGATTGGAGATTCCTTTGCTGTAGTGGCCAGAACATAGAGGCAGACCCAGGTCCCCCTTTTTTCCTAAATTCATTTTGCCTTTTTCTCCAATCCATATAGTCTCCTAAAAATTTCCTCAGCCACATTACACTACCATTTCTGTCTCTGATATTTGAAAAGCAGTTTGTTAAAATAATTTAACTTTTAAATACTATCATGAAGGACTGTATTCAGTGACTATATTCAGTCATTTTCATATAATTTCTTTCTCTTTAAGCATCACAAGTATTCCTTATCTGTTTCATGATGGAATAGAATTTTGGTTTCCATTTTCAGTGTATAGTCTCTGTCTTGTGGTAAAAATGAAAAAATTTAATTGTTTAAGGTTATAATTAATCATCCTATCTGCTTGAAAACTGTCAAATTACTTAGAACCAGGCCCAGTGACAGACACTTAAAATCCCAGCTATTCCCCAGGCTAAAGCATGAGGATCACAAGTTTAAAAGGCCATCCTGGGCATAAGATACCATCTCAAAAAATAATAATAATAAAAAGAGCTGGCAAACATAGCCCAGAGGTAGGGCACTTGGCTAGCATGCCAAAAGCCCTGGGTTCAATCCCAAGTTGTAAATAAATAAATAAATAAATCACTTGTCCTTGGTGAGAGCTAATCCAAGTAGATGTAAGGGATCAAGATATTTTTTATAAGCAAATTCTTCATACTAGAGAATTGTATTTTTTTCAAGAATTTTATCCTGGAGCTGGAGTTGTGGCTCAGTGGTAGAGCATTTGCCTGGCGTGTGTGAGGCCTTGGGTTCGATCCTCAGCACCGCATATAAATAAATAAATTAATTAAAAGATCAATTAAAAAAAAAAGAATTTTATCCCAATAGGACCTGATTTCCTTTGCTGTAGTGGCCAGAACATAGAGGCAGACCCAAGTCCACATCCTGACCCCACCATTAACTCACTCCTGGATTCTAGCAGCCCAGTGGTTGGCATAGAGAGGTACCTTGGTAAATACTGGGCAAGCGAACATGTAAAATTACTTAAATGTACAGGGCTTGGTTTCCTTATCTGTAAAATAGACATAAAAACGTGCTTACCTATGAATTACAGATAATTTATGTAAAACCTCTTGGCATATTGTAGGCATTCAGTTAGTGCTAGGTATGATAAAAATGAATTGTGTACAGAATCCTTTTATTAATATCAAGCAAGTTCTATAAATAAGTAGGAGTTTGCTGGGTTCAGGGGTCTGTGAGAAGAATTACCTGTGCAGTCCAGATGCTTCAGATAGCATTTTGTTTTGTTTTTTTCAGATTGAACTCAGGGGGTGCTCTACCACTGAGCTTCATTCCCAGCCCCTTTTATATTTTATTTTGAAACAGGGTGTCACCATGTTGCCCAGACTGGCCTTGAACTTGGTGACCTTCCTGCCTCAGCCTCCCACATAGCTGGAATTATAGGCATGCACCAACAGACTTGCTCATTCATTCCCCTCTTCATAGAAGCACTTGTAGATTGTTCCACAGTTTTGGGCTGGATCAGGATTTCAAGGGTGCGGGCACAGTCTTACAGAGCATACAAACTAGTACGACAATTGTCCACCGTCCTGACACAATTGAAGCACACTCCTAAGGATAAAGCAAATGTGAGGCACGTCCTGAGGAGGAGGATGCAGGAGCTGGCTTAGTGTGTGGAAAGGTCATGTAGACATGCTGGTGTCCTGGGTCAGCAGGAACCTGGTGGTGCAGTAGAGAGGAGCCCTCTGCAGGCTGTGAAAGGTGAGGTAGGTTAGGAGAAGCGAAATCCCTTTGCAGGCCACCTTGGAAATTGCATGAACTTCATTTTGCTCTTTCTCAAAGACCTAACCAATTAGTTCCTTGAGTGAATATGCTAACATTCCAGAGTGGGTCAGACCCATTAGATAAGGTACAGGTTAGCAATATTTATACTTTGAGGTGGTCTCCCTTGGCCTTTTCTTCTATCCAAAAATGAGAATTTGCACAAGTTAATCCAGATTTTATCAGATCACAGAGTATAAAAAAAGACCAGCTAATAGTTATAGATTTAGTTTTGTTTGTGGCAATTTCAAATATGTTCTCTCTCCTCTGAGCAAAGGCAAGCCCCTTTATGGTATTCCTCCTCTTTTCCCCTAAGGCTTCTCTCCTTAGTAAGAAGACCTTCCGTTCTGTTTAGAACTTGTTGAAGGGTTGTGGAATCAATGCTTAAATCTCTCTCTCTTTATTTCTAAAAAGTATTAAAGAAATATGTTAACCCCACCTAATTCAAGGCTGCCCACGATAGCACACAAGTTACTGAGACTGTGTATCACAAAGAAGTATTCTTCCTGTGCTGAGGATGTGTGATCTTGGTTCTGCCTTTCCACCTGCCTGTCCTCCTTCCTTGCTTGCTTGCTTCCTTCCTTCTCTCTTTCCTTCCTTCCTTCCACCCTCTTTTTCTTGCTGTTGTGAATAGACAAGCTGTTTTGTTTCTGGTGGAAAATGAGCGTGTATACTCTTTGTTTTAGAGCCTTCATTGTTTCCTCCAGTTGCTGGAATGTCTGCAGCAGTGGTCAGTTAGTACTTATAGTAAAGTGGTTGGGATTAAATGCAAGGCAACAGCTTTGATTCCATTGTCCCCTGCTTTATTTATTCTAATATGTGTACACTGATTGAAATTTCACTTTTTAAAATGTCATAATTTAGGAGTTCTCTGTTATTTAATATGATCCCAAGATGTAATTCTCTAAAGAAGGGATGGCAAATTATTTTAATGCTTTTATTGTTTTTGTTTCTAGCTTATTCTACTAAGCTCAACAAATTTCCTGTATTTAATATTAATGATGACTTGAATGATCTGTGTACCAGTGCAGTAAGCCCAAACACTACCAAAGCCACGCGGTACGCCCTGAATGTGTGGCGATATTGGTGCATGACCAACGGGCTCAAAGATCATACGGATATCACCAAGGTAAGGGACTCTCGAGTTTACTGTCTTCCAGCCAACTTCACTGAGCTTCCAAGTGTCGGCCACTGCATTAAGCACTGTGGCAAACAGAGGACAGTTGCTTTCTAATGGAGAAACTTGGAAAGAACATAAACTACAAAGAAAAATATACACAATACAGAGCAGGATTTAGTACATTTTTATGAATTTACAGAAAAGAAATGCCTGAAAATAAATACAGATAAATTAATTTCAGCTTGGTGAGAGTATATAGAGAGAATTGGTATTTAATCCGCATTTTGAGGGAGAGGTGGATTTCAATAGGATTAAACAAGGATGGGAGTTTTGTAGGTTGAATGGTGTGAGGAAGAGAAAAATTGAGACAGATCACCTGCCTACAGCAAAGACTTCATATATGGGTATAGTAGATTATAAACAATTGTGATAGCCCTTAAGTGCCATGCTGAAGGCCTAAACACTGGAAAATCACTGAAGTTTCTTTCTTGATTTTATTTTTGGTAAGGACAGATTGTATTTGAAAGAACTGTTGTAGGGTCTAACCATCAGAGCTGCAAGCATCTTAAGAATGAGACCAAAAGGAAAACATTAAAGTCATTTGAGGAAAGAACATAATGAAATGGTATTTGAGAGAGAAATTAATTGGAAAATGATATGTAAAAAGTTATTTAACCTCTTTGTGAAATTCTTAAAATCTTTTCTCTGAAATATTTCAGGTTTGTGAATGGCAGGATAAAATCTTGGACATGTGGTGACGGAGCAAAAACTACCATGTTTTGATTTAGACATACTGATTCTGAATCAGATGTCCAGATGGATGTGTCCAATAAACAGCTGGAACTGTGAGGTTCAAAACCGTTGGAGATGCTCAAGCTCCAAGTATAGATTTAAAGGTCTTGCAAATAGAGTCATAATTGAAGCCCAAGGGCAGGCAAGATCTCAGAGTTTGAGTAATGTACCAGGGGAATTATCAAGAGTTGAAATAGGAAACCCAGTTTTCTTTATCTGACACTGCTGAGCACTTGGTAGTGTGAGCTACCTTTCTCAGGAAGAGAACATCCTCCAGGAGAAGAGAGAGAGAAAAAAGGTGAAAGAGGAACAGTAAGCACACATGAAAGAGGGTTCTTCCTGAGTGTGCATGTCAATAACATTGTTAAGGAAGGAAGAGTGGTAGATGAACTGAAGAATCCTTGATTAAGGCGAGGACCCTGAAAGGGTTCTATAGAGGGTCCATGTCAGTAGCATACCCTGGATCCTAGCAGAGTTATAGGCTAATAATCTCTCAAGGGAACCATACAAAACCTATAGGTATTGGGTCTTTTTACAGATTAATTGGGGTTTTTACAGGTTTAAATATGTGCATGTTTTTAAAATTCACCAGTCATTCAGGAAATAAATGATGAATGATGATGAGTAAAAACAGCAAACAGATTGAGATACCAGAGACTTCAGTGAGTAAATTATAGTTTAACTATGAAATTTTTATGCAAATAACAGAAAGCATAAAAATATTCAACAACATACCAATCAAAATGATCCAGCAAATTTGAAAATAACTTGAAATTTATACTTCTGGCCATGAGAAAAAAGCATCCAAAATTAACCTCCTGTTTTAACAAGTAGAAAACTAGATACAATACATGAAATAATTCTTTTCAAACAGAATAGACAGCACAGGATGTGATCCTTAAAACAGAGGAAACAATTGAGAGAAGAGCCATTATCTCTGAGACTATTAGAGTTTGAGGAAGCTGAGGACATGAGTACACTAGCAAGAAATGTCAACTCACTGGAAAAAACTTATAAAATATAAACTGTGTAAATTTCATAATTTCTAGCATCCATTCAGATTTGACATAAACATAGGAATATCTGATCTATTCCCAGGAGAAAAGTCAACTAAGTCTTTTACTTCTAGCCAATTGTAAGGGCCAGATTTACCTTCATGCTTTTAACAACAAAAAAACTAACAAAAATATAAAAATAAAACATGATGTTTTTCAAGGAACTTTATAGCACTTTGTATAGCAAGCACAGAATGACAGTGATCTCAGAGAGACAGGAAACAAACAAGGTTATTCCTATGAGTGCCCCAGTTTTCTGACTTCAAAGATTAACAAGTCTGTGGTGCATGGAGGGAAATTCAAACAGAGCCCAACAGACTCACTGAGTTGAAAAAATGGAGCCGAGAGTCCGGGGAGACCAAGGTGGCTAGAGTTGTCATGACAGAACTCAAAAGTAGAGGGGTGAACAGAGAGAAAACCCAAGATATTTAAAGATGATCTCATCAAATATTTAGCTGAATACTATCAGCATGTGCATGTGAGGAGACCACTTGATACTCACAAAGAACTCTCTGAAAGGATCAGTAACAGTACCTGGCACACAGAATTGGAAGCAGTATGGTTCACCAGCCAGACTGAAAATCCCTCAGGATGCATGGAGAAGAATACTCAGTAGGTGTGAGGATACTCAGTAATATACATTCGATATGTGATATGAGGTAGGGGTATGAGAGTATTAAGTTTTGAACTTAATTTTAAGATTTAAGATCTTTCTGCTTAGCACCACTTATTTAGGAACGATACTCTCCTGCAGTCCACATGGTTACAGCAGAAGCCATCACATTAAGTATAGTGGAACACCTTCTCATGAGTTGTTGGGTTAAGAGTGGGTTGAGTAGAATCCTTTCAGATTTTTTTTTTCCAAACTGAAAATAAGAGCTGGTCTCTTTCTAAACCTGCTGGTCTCTTTCTAAAACCTGAGGAGTGTTAATAGGCTATCTTTATAGCTATATGAAGAAAGCCAGTCTTTAAGAGAAGCAGTGATGAGAGAGAATCCTGAGAAACTTGGAGTCTACTTTAATACTGATATCCCTCTTGGCTAGGCTTGTTCAAGTTTGATATTTCTCTTGCACCAGAGGAGTCCCAATTAATATAAAGAGAAGTTATATCATTATATCATCTTTATGATAGGGAGTTCTGAATGACAATATAAACATCTGAAAGTAACTGAACTTGAGTATAATGGTCATTAGGAAAGTATTTTTAACTGATTATTGATAGTATATAAGAAAACTATTCTCTTATTTTGTATACAGTTGCCCTACTCTTTCCAATAGCTGTTGAACTGAATCTGAGTTTCCTAGACTAACAGTTTATCAGAAAATAATTATATTTTATCATTTTCCCTTCCTGTATACTACGTGTGTGTATGTTTGTGTGTGTGTGTGTGTGTGTGTGTATAAGAGATTAAGGCAGGGTTAGGTAGGTAGGTAGACATAGATATTTATTTTTCTTGTCTTACCTGGTTGCCTGGAACTTCCAGGAATGTGTTGTATAAGAACAATAATATTCAATATTCAGTATGCTTATCCTATCTCTATTTTTTTTCTTTTTTTTTTTTAACTGGGGCACTTAACCAATGAGCTAAGTGTCCAGCCTTTGAACTTGCAATTTTCCTGCCTCACTTTCCTGAATTGCTGGCATTATAGTCATGCACTATTGCACCTAGCTCATCCTGCCTGTAACTTTCTGAGAAAGATTTTAATGTTTTCATTGTGGGTATGATTTTTATAGTTCTTGTCTGTAAATTACTCTTCATTATAATAAGAGGGTTTTTTTCCCTTCCAATCTCAATTTATTTTTTTTAATTTATTTTTTAAAATATGAAATGGATATCACATTTGTTCAAATAAATTTTCAATGTCAAGTTCATATTACCTTTCTTCATAATGTATGAATGTCAATTCTATTAAAATATTTTAACGTTAAATCATCCTTGTACTTTAATCATTCCCTACTGTTTTGATGAGTATTTCCATGCTGTAGTCATTCATATTTTTTCTTTCTTTCTTTCTTTCTTTCTTTTTTAGGTGTTGATGGACCTTTATTTTATTCATTTATTTATGTGCAGTGCTAAGAATCGAACCCAGTGCCTCATACATGCTAGGCAAGCGCTCCACCACTGAACCACAATCCCAGCCCATCCATGCTATGGTCTTGACTGTGACTTGATAATCTAGTCCTTGTTATAAGATGCCATATTACCTGGAACTTTTGCATATCAGCCATTCCTCACTTTGTATGGTACCAGTGTATGCACATTATATTTGACATGTTAATATGCAAAATGAGAGTTGCAGTATTTTACTTAGGAAATTTTACATTTATATTCATATGCTTTGTTTGTTTTTGGTTTTTGTATACTATAGATCAAATTTGAGTTAGAAACAAAATGAAGAACATATCTTTTTCATGTGCCCCAAAACTTTTTAAATTCAAAGGACTTGGGAGTAAGCTCAGTTGTAGAGTAGGAAGTAAGCACATGCAAGACTCTGGGTTCAATCACCAGCACCACAAAAATAACAATAAAATGTTAAATAAAGGCAAAAGAAAAGCTGAGTTGACTCCATAAAGTCATCTCTCTAGGAGTAGCATACATTTTTCAAAATCATTTTACTCCCTTCTCTTGTTTGGAGTTATTTAGATCTTTTACCTCTGATTGAATAGTATGATTTTTGTAATCCATATTTTGCTAGAAAATTGTTTGGATTATGTAGATTTTTCAAATTAAGAAATATGTGATATTCTTTCATATTCTTTATTAATTCCATAGTCTCTTTCCTAATATTGCTTAAATGTATACTTCCTTTCTGCTTCTTTTCCCCTGTCTATGCTAGAAGTTGTTTTTTTTGTTGTTGTTATTGTTCTTTTTAGATAAACATGGTAGTAGAATGAATTTGACATATTATACATTCTCAGAGTATGACTTCCCATTCTTGTGGTTGTACATGATATGGCATTTTACTGGTCGTGTATTCATATATGAATACAGGAAAGTTATATCTTGTTCATTCCACTGTCTTTCCTATTTTCATTCCCCTCCCTTCCCTTTATTCTCCTTTGTCTAATCCAACGAGCTTCTATTCTTCCCTCCCCTGCTTATTATGTATTTGTATCCGCATATCAGAGAGAGCATTCAGCCTTTGGTTTTTCTGCTAGAAGTTTGGCAACTTTATAAAAATATTCTTTTCAAAGATGGCATATTTTCTTTTTTCTTTTTTTTAACCTATCCTAATTTTATCTTTCCTACTTAATTAAGTTATTTTTATTTATATTGGCTTACTCTACTATTTTTTTAATTTGGTTTACTTTTTATAGTTCTTGGAACTAAATAATGAATTTGCTCATTGAGAATAAGGTTTTCTAAGAAAGTCATTCAAAATCATGATGTTACTGGAGTATATTTAATAATATCATACATTTTGACATGTAATGTCTTTAGTTGAGTTCATTTTTTTTAAACTAAAGCCTTTTTTTTTTAAGATTCTTTTTTTAGTTGTCAATGAACCTTTATTTTATTTATTGATACATGGTGCTGAAAATTGAACCCAGTGCCCCACACGTGCTAGGCAAGCGCTCTGCCACTGAGCCACAACCTCAGCCCTAGTTGGGTTCATTTTTAATGCATAATTCACCTTTTATTTTCTCTTTGACCCAGACACAAGGGCTATTAGAAAAATAAATGTTAACTCTGCAATTTTACTCATTAAAAGTTTTCTGTTTGGACCTTTTTTTTCCCTAAAGAACTTAACCTTTATTGATTGATTGATTGATTGATTGATTGTGTTTTTTTGTGTGTGTGGTACTGAGGATCGAACCCAGTGCCTCGCCCACATTAGGCAAGCGCTCTACCACTGAGCCAAAACCCCAGCCCTTGTTTGGAGTTTTTTTGTCCCAAGGAATGTATGTTTCAGTCTGACCTTATGATAAACAAGGTTTCTTTTTTTCTTTATATAGTTCCCTCTTGAAAATAAAGCTTTCTTGCTAGCCACGCTTTCTTCTCTTCCCATAATACTAAAATAAGAAGCTCACTCTATCACTATAGCCATTATGATTTTCCTATCATTTAACATTATTGATATTGAGATCCTGTGGAGTATTAAGCAAGAGATATTTCAGTTCCTATTCAGATAAATCAAGGAGCATTAATTTGTGACCCAAAATGGCCATGTCAGTTGTCTTCCCAACAGCACTGCATTTCTGCGCACACAGCATAACCAAGTGTGTGCGTAGATATCAAGGAAGTTAATGCTGGAGTGATTTGGAGCTTTAGTTCAGGAATCCCTCAGAGAAAATGACTAAGTTTTAGTAAAGGGGAAGGAAGAAAATGATTTGCAGCAAAGAGAAAAAAGTACCTTTTAGGAATAGAACAAGTTCCTAAAGGCTAGTAATAACAATAGTTTATATGTATGTATGTACTTGCAGACATAGGTGTGTATGTGTATGTTCATTACTATTTACAAACCTTTTCATGGTTCGTTACTTTAAGCATTACTGCAGTCTTTTGTGGTGGTCTCCATTATTTTGCCCTATTCTGCAGATGGAAACACTGAGGTTCAAAGAGATTAGGGAGCCAGATATGGAACCCTGATCTTCTAACTTGAAATTCACTGTTCTTTCTACCATGTCATGCTTAGGGTCAGCCCTCTAATGGCCACAGTGTGTCCTCGGCATAGTAGAGCTCCCACTGAGGATTAGAAGGGAGGAAGGGTCTGGCTGTTTGGGTGTCCTCTGTGAGTAACCTCAGTGTTTATCTCATTTGAGATCCCTGCAGTGAAGTTGAATGAGCTGCTGGAGAACTTTTATGTCACTGTCAAGAAGAGTGACGGCTCAGACTTCCTGGCTACCTCACTCCATGCCATTCGCCGGGGCCTGGACCGCATCCTGAAGAATGCAGGTGTGGGCTTTTCCATCACCAGCAGCACCTTCAGCTCTTCTACCAAGAAGCTCAAGGAGAAGCTGTGGGTGCTGAGTAAGGCGGGGATGTCGGGCGCCCGCTCTCGAAATATCGTCTACTTCTCCCTTTCTGATGAGGAGGAGATGTGGCAGGCAGGGTGTCTGGGGGACGACAGCCCCATCACTCTTCTGTCCACTGTGGTCAAGTACAACAGCCAGTACCTGAACATGAGGACGCTGCAGGAGCATGCAGATCTGATGTACGGTGACATAGAGCTGCTCAAAGACCCACAAAACCAGCCCTACTTTGCCCGGACAGACAGTGTCAAGCGGGAGAGTCGGAGTGGATCCACTAGAGTGTGTCATGGGAAGATCTACCATGAGCATTCCAGAGGACACAAGCAGTGCCCTTACTGCCTCCTCTACAAGTACATGTACATCCACCGGCCACCCACCCAAATGGAGGCCAAGTCCCCCTTCTACCTTACTGCCAGGAAAGAAGCCACAGACATGGGCAATGTGTGGTATGAGGAGCAGAGGATGGGACTGCGTTCTCTTCGAGGAATTGTCCCAAACTTAGCCAAGAAAGTCAAGCTGGAAAACTGTGAGAACTTCACCTTCGTCTCATTTACTCAGGTCTCCAGGAAACTTGGCTCCCACAGCTGCTGCCAGTGAGCCTGGGTGCAGGCCACTGCCCTATTCCCCCTTGTAGGTGAGAGCTCCCCCAGGTGGCCAAGCCAGAGTCAGCAGCAACCCAGAGCTCTGAGGAGGCAGCTGCTGACCCTGTGTAACTCCAGGCTTAGACTAGTCTCCATCAGTGTGGCCTGCTAGTCCTCTGACTTGGAGTTTGTTTTTTGAATGAAAAAAAAATGATTATCTGAATAATTTGGATGTGTTATCCAAATGTGTGTTACCTTTGTTAAATTGTAAAACACAGTGTATAATTGCTATATATGAGAATGAGGAAATTCATATTATCTAGTGCCTTTTTAGCACAGGTTTTCTGGAAAAAAAAGAGAAAAAGAAAAAAAAAGGATACTGATTAAATAGTTATTAAAAAAAATCCCAGTAGCCCAGTAGCTTTAGATTGTTAGGAAGACTATACGCTTTGTTGAATTACACTCACAGTAAGGAATTAGAAAGAGAGAGACAGACACATTAGAGAAAAATTGCACCTGACACTCCTTTATATTTTGTTGGTGGATAACTTGGTTGTGTAAAGCAGGCAGCCTTGCTAGAGAAAACTCTAGAGTGCCTGCCAGGGCGGCGGGGGCTGCTCTATGCAGTGAAAGGATCCATCTCTGCTGTCAAGGTAGACAATTTTATGAAAAGAAGATTAATGCACCAAAAGGGTGTTTGTGAGAACAAGGTTTTCAGTGAACTAGATGGTTCATACCTTGAGGGAATTTCTAGTAGTGAAAGAAAATGACTTAGAAAAGCCACCTGTGATCAAAATGTGAAAACCTCCTGACGCAGAAGTGCCTATGTCTTAGTTCTCAGCACTACATGAGAGTGTTTTTTTGTGTGAACATATTTAGTGTTTTTTAACCTCTTCTTCTTATCATACAGTTGTTCTGTCAGCATATAGCACTGGATTTGTAAACAACTAACAGTAACATTCAGGCCCACCTAGGAAAATTCAACAAAACAAGCTGCAAAGGAAACAGATCCCCAGATGTGTTTACTAAGAGGTTTGAGATATTTTTTATCCAAGTATGACTTTTTCAGCCACAATGTCATCATTTTAGGTTGGCACCAATGCTCGCAACACTATAATTTAAGAAACCTACAAGGTAAGCAAACCCAACAGAAAAGATGTAGTGGTAAAATCAGAGCATAATGATAGGTTATTAATGCAGTTTGAAACCATTTCACTCAGGTCAAATTCAGCCTGACTACATATTATTTAAATATCAGAAATTTCTAACAATTATTCTGAATGCAACTAGAAGTGAAAAAGGAACCCAAAGAGTGCTAATTGATAATAATATTAAGTTCTAGGTATCTTTATTTGTATTCAAGTAAAGACTGCTCTAACTTTATACCATTATGTTCCTGTGTATGCTTTCTAATTCCAAATTAAAATTCCAACACAAATTCATTTTTGTAGGAGTCTTAAAATCCTATTTCTTTTTAAAGCATTATCTTAGTATTTTTAATTGTTTTTAAAATCATTCATTGGTCATTAAAATATGTGATACTTTACCAGAGAAGACTCAACCAATGCTGCCTTAAGGTCTAAAGTTGTTCCCTTTGTAATTAGTGCACATTTATAATTTGTTTACTAGTTTATCTTTCCTGAGATTAGTTTTGGTGTATCTTCATGTGTATATAAATAACAGGTAATAGTTAATAATCACTGTTAAAACTTGATATTACATACTGTTCTGTCATGGTTTCTTATAGTGATTTTAGAGTTTTACTTAAGAAGAAATAGACACAAAACATTAGGAATGGTTTCCTTTCATTTGCTAAACACCCAAAGGATATTTTGTTGGTGGAAAGCAAATGGTCATTTTCTTGTCAGTTCTGCATTTAAACTGAAGTTTAACCTATGTGAACTTTCGGCAGAGTCTGCAGCCCAATTAAATAAAGCCTCCATTTTTATTTCAAATAGATTCAAGAAGAAATTGCCATTAGGAATCACTGGGATCTTTTCAGATTTTTACATTTCCAAAAATAGCAATAACTGAGCCAGCAGTTGTAATTGTCCTGTTTGTAGCTGTCTGTCAGCTCAATAACCATCTCTTCCTCAGATATGCTGTCTATCACTTATTTGATGTATTGTAAATCCCCAGAGTTCTGAAGTGAAGGATTATAATAAAAAGTCAGGAGGGCAAATCTTCAGTGACAGCTGATGGAATGAAAGGCCTGTCTCAGCATCACCTGTCTCCCTGGGGAGTGGGTGTGAGGAAGAAAGCACATCCACCTGTTGCTACCAGGTGCCACCCACTGTACGAGGTACTTTCCCTGTTGTGTATTTGTGTATGTGTGTGTGTGTGTGTATACACACGCTTCAGATTTGCATGTGGTAAAGCCTGGCAAGCCTGCTAACTTGGCAAAGCACCTATCCATGCCTATGGCCATGCCTGTCCTCAGGGGACCTTCAGGGGCTAGGAGAGCTTATTCTAGCTGTTCAGCTGAGGCAGTTGTACTGTCCTTCCAGTTGGCTCTCTACCATTCATTCCCCCTGAATACCTTGATTTTCTGCCCTTGACCTAGGCAGAAAGAAAGATTCCAAGAGGAGTGGGAAGTTAAGACATTTTCTCCACTTTGGGGTTTTTGTACTCTGCAGCTGGAATAAATGTCAAGAACTTGCAAGTGTGCCTAGATACAAGTTGCCTCTGTCCCTGCGTGGGGAATGGAGGTATGGTAGGAGAGGACCTGTGGAGTCTTAGGGAGAGCCTACACCTGTAGCACCTTCTGTGTCTGCTCCAAAAGGAGCTCTGGGTACCACATTCCCAGAATGCAGTAGGCCTTCCTGCTAGGAGCATAGATTGGTAGAGATGATAGGGTGTCACTTGATGGGTAAGATCTGATTAAACATGAAGAATTCAACACAGACATCATAAGCATGCAGTGTCACTTTTTTAGTTACAACTTTTCACAATAAGTAATATTTTCCAGCTCATCTGCATTAGGCCACTTACTTCTTTCATTATGGAGATTTTTTCTTTCTTAAACTGCTAAACTTGGAAGAGGAAATCAAACTCAGTAATCTGGTCAAGTTAATGCATTTATGCCCATGAATTCTACCTCCACACAACCAAGCCCTGATACCTCACATATAAGCAAAAACAAGGAAGAACAGAGACACCTTAAAAGGCTTTATGAAAAGTTTTTCCATTGTTTTGTGTGTTTGCAAAAACAAAAACAAAAAAGGAATATTATGGAAGTAATCTAACCAAAGCTGTGAAAAAAAAAATAATGGTCTTCTTGGTCATGTGGCATTGTCCAGCTTTCCTTGGATTGTATTCATTAGTCTGCCCTAACTGATAAATGGTGTTTGAAGAAATGTGAAACTCTGTTACTCTCATTTTTATTTTAATTCAGTTTTTATTGAAAGCATCAAGCATTATCTGCATGTTCATAGACACAGTGATTAACATCATCTAAATGAAGTATTATTTGTGTAGAAACTGAAGCTTCTTGATGAAGTTAAAAGATTACTGGGAGCTGCTTGACTGCTTCATTTAGGCAAATTCTGGTGTCACTGTCCTTAGCTCTGAAGTGCGATCAGTGGAATGAATCATCTCCACAGTGAACAATGTTACCTTCTAAGAAGCAGAATGTTGATTAATTTTCTCAGTTTAGGTTAATACTAGCCACATTGTTATTACTTAAATAAACAGCATTTAAAATTTATCCTTATCAAATATGCAACACTTTGTTGCTTTCATGAGATATGGATTACTAAATAATTTTGAGCTAGTAACCAGTTAACTTAAGGTATCAATGAATGTAAACAGTGAAGATTTTGAAAAAGAGTTACTTCCTTTTCTCTAAATGCTCTTCAAGTTGCAGCCCATAGACATTTAGAAGTTAAAAGCTCCAAATAAAATGTATTCAAAGTTTCAAAGTTGTATATATGTTAAATAGTTTTTACTTTGGGGTGAATTTTTAGTGCTGTGTGCTAAAATATTCAGTTATTTAGTCAGTGTTTGTAGGTAAAGATCTTTGTTGTATTTTCCCATGAAAATGAATCAAAACATGAGGCAGGTGGATTGGTGACCTACACTCCACGCTCTTTCTGAGAGCAAGCCATGAGGAATGATGATTAAACTAACATACCTGGAAGATTCTATATCTGAGTCACTAGATTTCCCAAAACTCCCCTTTGAGGAAGGCTCCCATCCTTGGAGCAAGCTTTGCCTGTTATTATGATCATGTACTTCTAGTTTTGTTTACAGTCCAAGAATGCAGAGACATTCCCCATGTTTCATTGTTGATCAGAATCAGATTGTTAAATTAAAGCATTTTATTAATGATCTAATGCAGCAAATATGGAAACTAACCATTTCAGGAAATATGACCAAAAACTTGTTGGATAATCTGTGGATGCATAGTAGTTCATTATTATTAATAGTGATTTGATAACCCCCTCCCCCATTGAGAGGAGAACAAGCTTCTAAATATTTTATAGTCAGTATAACTGGTTGATTAATTTGCACTTAACTGTGCTTATTGTTACATCTACTGATTTATTAAAAGCTTCTAGGGCTGGGATTGTGGCTCAGCGGTATAGCGCTTGCCTAGCACGGGCGGGACGGGGTTCAATCCTCAGCACCACATAAAAATAAAGGCATTGTGTTGTGTCCATCTACACCTAAAAAAAATAATATTTTTTTTAAAAAAAAGCTTCTAGAAGAATCCAGAAACTGCATCAATCAGTTAAAACATGGCTATTTAGTGAACTAAGCAACATTGCTATTTCACAGAAATATCTGCCAAAAAATTGAAATTGTTATTTGGCTCTTATCTAGACAATGCCAGAAAACCTAGATTTTTAAAAATATAGACAATATAATTTTTTTCTATATTTTGTCACCGTTTTAAGTTGAGAAATGGCATTTATTTAACTTCATTATTATACACTAATGGGTATTAAAATCAGTAATTCTGAAAAAAAGCTTCTAGAAGTTTCAGATCTATCACTGTGCTAAGGGTTTTCTCACAGCTGCCTCATATTTTCTAATAGTTCTGCAAAGTGCATTTAATTATTCCATTTTGCTTATTAAGAAACTAGGACTCAGAAAAGTTAAACTTCCCACAGCAATACAGAGCTAGTAAGTTGAAGAACTTAAATTTGAAGGCAGATCTTCTGACTCCAAATCCAAAACTCAGTCTATAAGAAAAAGCTGCCTACTTTAGGCCCATAGAGGTCCATTTAACTTTTTTTAAAAAGTTTTCATTTGTTTAGGAAATATCCCCCTCTTCAAGCCTTACTGTGTTAACAGTTTATCTATCCTCTCTTACTAATTCATTCGTCACTTCGTACCGTTTAATAATTCCCAAAAAGCCTAATGGTTTTCAATGAATGAATATAACACTTGTGCCTACCAAGAACCTTCTGTCCTTACCCATTATATAATTTATGTTTACTGTTATCACCTTAAAGGGTAGATGTTTAGGCCATTTGCTTTATTAACAGTTAGTTTATAAACTGTACCTGTTTTTGACATGGGAACCACTGATTAAAATGTAAAGAAATTCCGGGCTAGGGATGTGGCTCAAGCTGTAGCGCGCTCGCCTGGCATACATGCGGCCCAGGTTGGATCCTCAGCACCACATACAAACAAAGATGTTGTGTCCACCGAGAACTAAAAAATAAATATTAAAATTCTCTCTCTTCTCTCTCTCTCTCTCTCTCTCTCTCTCTCTTTTTAAAAAAATAAAGTAAAGAAATTCCTAATCTATATCACAATTACTTGCTCAGATGTTTTACTTTTGCTTTTTCATTTTTGTGTCAGGATTTATAAAGCACTCTTAGAGCAAAATATACTTATTTAGTCATTTATTTTCTATTCTTTATCAAGTCATATTTATTTTGAGACTTAAAAGACAACAGGTTACAGGTGACTTTAAGGTCATCTAGCCAAATTCCCTCATTTTACCCATAAGGAAATTAAAGCCCAGAGATAAGAAAGAGCCCATCCAAGTCAAGCCAGACCTTAAGTAGTAGGTTCAGGACTAGAAAACTGGTCCAGAACTCTTTCCTTCATATCATAGCTGAGAAGACTGGGATTTTAAAAAATTAATTAGTAGAATTGCATCTGGCATAATGATATCAGTGAGCTGCTCTCACCATGTCAGAAGACATGAAGACACATATGAAGAGCAGATCTCAACTTGACCATCTAGAAGTAGCTGGTACAATTTATGAGGCATACGGAGGGGACTGTGGTAAAACCTTTCCAGGTTATAGCGAAGTTGAAAATCTGAAAGCTATATAGTGTTTGACCTCTTTCCCCACCATATCTATCTCCTTATTCAGTCTCTGAATCTCATATCCAGTGCTACACCATGAAGAGGAGGTTCTAGATCCCATGGATCCTGCCCTCTTCCTTTTCCCAACACACCCTCTTCATTCAGCCCTGAACTCCAAATCCTAGGGCTAAAACATGAGCAGAAAGCAGAGAGGGACTAGAAGACACAGTATATTCTGAGAATAAAGCCCATCAGGTGAAGGCCTAAACAGTAAAAGCCTGGGTAGCACAGCATGCAAGTATTTTGATTTTTCATATATAACATTGGCTTGGAGATTAAAAAAAAAAGAAAAAACCCAGACCAATAGAAAGGACAAGAAAGTTACTTCATTGGGAAAGTGGTAAATGGGAAATTGGACCTAGAAATATGGACTCACCTTACCTTACCATCAACCTGGGATTTGACTGAAAAAGGGAGTTGACAAGTGGGCAGGGTCTGTGAAGAAGGAACCACATATAAAGATTAGCAGTGAGTTTAAAAAGGTGAAATGAGGCATATAAAAAAGTAAGACAGCCAGGTGCCCTGGCACATGCCCATAATTCGAGTGACTCAGGACACTGAGGCACGAGGATTATAGTTTGAGGTCAGCCTCAGCAATTTAACAAGACCCTGTCTCAAAATTTAAAAATACACAGGACTGGGAATGTGGCTCAGTGGGAAAGCACTCTTGGGATCAATGCCCAGGACAAAAAAAAAAAAGTGACAGAACCAAAGAAAATGAGCAGCTTCCAGAACATTCTTGAAAATTGAATGCTGAAATGTAGGAAGCAAGAAAATGTTAGGATTCTCTTTGTCCTAATTGAAAACAAGATTTGCTTCTATGCAACAGTAGTAAGTTTTTACATGAGAACGAGTTATAAGAAAAAGGTAAAAGAACTAAAATGGAGCGGTGGCGTGCACCAGCAGCTTGGGAGGCTGAGGCAGTAGGATGTGAGTTCAAACCCAGCCTCAGCAAAAGTGAGGCGCTAAGCAACTCAGTGAGGCCCTGTCTTTAGATAAAATACAAAACAGGGCTGGGGATGTGGCTCAGTGGCTGAGTGCCCCTGAGTTCAGTCTCTAGTACTCCCCCAAAAGATGGAAAAGACTCACTGCACTTTCATCCTCCCTCCACTCCCAAAAACGTGAAAAAGAGATCAGTAATTAAGGTCTTCTTGGCAAAAATGTTAAACTCCCACAGAAAGTGAAAAATTCTTCTGGCATCAAAGAGAAAGAGCAACAGGTTGCTTTTAAGAAAACCAGGGCAACTGGAGTCAGACTTCTTAATAACACCAAATACCAGGAAACAATTTTGAGGGAAAAAAAAATTGCATCATATACTATACTTACAAAGATAATGAATGATACTGCAACCTACAAAGCCTGGTTTGGAAAAAACAAAACAAAACAATATTCTCTTAGTATCATAATCTCAAGGGACTCCGGAGTTAAACATCAGGTCACTACCCCCCTAGAAGAAGGGCAAGTGTGCCTTTAAATGGAAAATACTGCTGGAAGCAACATATCTAAAAGTGCCCCAATCCTCACATGAATGAATTAGATTAATACAAGATGTACCTAAAAATAGTTTCAAGACTTCAGCATTATTTCTTCATTTTTATGGCTGAAATAATGCATAATTACATTATAAATAGAAAATTCAGATATGCCTTTTGTTCTCAATTTTCCCTGTGACCAATTTTAAAAAAGAAAGGGGGTGGGGAACGCTCTTACTGTGAAATAATATTGTGTCTGCTGGTTCCAAGTGAGCCAAGTCCAGAAGTCCCTACCTCTGTCCTGGGTTCTGAGAGTCTAGATGCGAGATGGTTGACACCATCCCATATGCTGTTACACTTGCCTGAAACTCAGAACTTGTTGAGTTTGGATCTGGAATGTCCCCCAAAGGCTTGTGGGTTGAAGGCTTGGTCTCCAGTTGGCACTATTGGGATATGGCGGAAATTTCAGGAGGTAGGCCTTGTTAGAAGTAGGTTCCCTGTGGGTGTGACTGTGAAGCTCTGTCTGCTTC